GGCGAGGGTGGGAAGCGCCACGGCCGGCGGCGGCGGCGGCGCGAGGACGGTGGCGAGGCCGTGGGGGAAGGGGCCGGCGGGTTTGGCGAGGAACCCCGGCGGATCGCCCGGGAGCGGGTATGGGTTGCCGACGCGATGTTTGAACTTCGCCTGCTGGGTGATCTTCTCGAGGACGAGGGGCACCTTCGGGACGCAGCGCAGCAGCTCGCGCGGGATCTCCTGGATGAACAGCGGGAGCTGGGAGACCTGCGAGGGCGCGACGACCCACACGCAGTTCACATCGCACAGAATCCGCTTGGTGAAGGAGAGAATGGCCTGTAGGGCGCCGGCGTTGATCCGGACAAAGGCGCACGTGCGCTCCCGGTTATGGCACTTCACGTCATGGACGTAGACGATTTGCCCCTGCTCGTTGCCAATGGCTCGCAGTAAAGCTTTGATATCGTTTGCCGAGTAGGTGCTCGGGAGCTGCCCGACAAAGACCCCGGCCGCTTCTTCGGCCAAGATTCGTTCGGGAACCGGCTTTTGATGAAGAAAGGTCCGGAAAAAGAGCGGCTTGGCGCATAAAGGCGGCCGCATAATGGCGGAGTAGACATTATCGGTGGAAAACGATAGCTGGGAAGGGCGCGCGGCGCTGTCAAGCGGCGGTGGCAACGGGCCATCTCGATATTTGGGCGATATGGACATGGAAAGGTCCTCCTCCGAAGGAATTCCAAGGTTTGGTTTCGAGCCTTCACACGTATGACAGGAAGTGAGACCCAAAGTAGTCAGGGTGCTATCATCCATGATGTGTTTGGCATTGATGTTTTGTATGTTAATCAGTGTCTTGACGACATCACTGTTGATGGATTCACTCACTTCCAGATTGTGGTCCATCTTCACGATACCATTGGGGCACATCATTTCATTGTTCTCTTCCAATATATTTGGAAAAAACGCCGAATTGCGAAAACCGGGATAGGTTTCGGGGGACCGTAAGGATCCGTTTTCCTCGCGCTGCATTATATTGCACGAACTTGGATAGATTTTGTGAAAATGCGGAAAAACACAAAATGGATACAGGAAGCAAGTTCAACTGTTAAAGGAAAAGGTTAAAAGGAAACGCGTGTATCTGTGCCTTAGAAACGGGGGAAAAAGTTGTGTTAGACCGACTGAAAAAGTGTAAATGACACACCAAGTTATAGATGCTAAATTTCTTGGAAAACAAACGGATAAGGTGCTATTTTTGTGATTCACGAGAAACAAAAGTAATCTTTGTTTATTTCGATGTGTTTTACTATTCTCTGAAAATAATCAAACCCTGATTAGAATCGCAGGACGCTCCTGTAGCACACGGATTGAATTTCTATTTCAACAATGAGAGAATATGTCAAAAAAAGATAATGATGGAAACAAAAAAGAAAATGTAGAAAGCTTTGAAAAACGTAGGGATATAAAAATATTTGTATATATATATAGAATACTTTTTCCACAAAAAGATCTGAAAAGGATGAAATATGTCTAATGAAACTCCTTTTTCACAGTAATAAAAGGTATGGGGAGTTTTTGAGGTATAATAAGGCCGTACCAAGAAGCCAATATTTTGATAATTTTAGGGAATTAAAAATCACCACTTTGGAGGCAGCTGATGAACACGTTTTCAAATAAAAAAGTGAGTTTCAGGCCCGCTTAGATATCTGGTGTTCAATTGCTTTTCTTTTTGTTATGATAGAAAAGCTTGCGTATATACTACTCAGCTGATAGGAAAACGAGTCGATAGGCGAGAAAGAGGGTTAAATCTGAAGAT